CATCATCCTGTTTTAACTCTTCAGATCACTCATTGCAATTGAAAATGACACCCTCTCTGTCTGTGTCGATCTTTGCACGTCTGCCCCCTCGGACTAGAAGGTAAGCACCGTGGAAAGGGGCACCTAGTCACCTCCCGGGCCCTCGGCACCTCGAGCAGGTGCACGGCCTTTAGCCCCATGTCAGAGGTGGGGACAGGAGGGAAAGGTCAGAGGGAGGACAGGGGGAGCAAGAGGGGAGGGCTGGAAGGGAAGAAGAGAGACAGGTGCGTGTGTGTGTAGCCTCAGTTGCCATAGGGCTTGGGGCAGGGCGGGGAGCACGGCCAGGGAGATGGTTTCCTCAACGCCTTACACGACAGGACAGGACTCTGTGCAGGTGAGCGAGGTTTAGGACCTTTCTGAGATTGCTTGCCGGAGACAGGGCACCAGGAGCAGACGACAAAGGTGCCGCTTTCCTGAGCGTCTCGGCAAGACTCGGAGTAGCAGTCTCTGTTCTGCCGTGGGTTTGTATTCTAGTGTTGCGTGACTTCCTCCCCATTCGGCCATGGCTTCTTAACACGAAATCAATACACAGCTCCCAGGACAGCCCGGGCTGTGTCTACATGATGCCAGAGCAGCCTGCCAAGTGATTAGATGTGGTTAAAAAAGAAATCAGTCAGACCGGTCATTTGTCATCGGGTAGACAGAGCCACGCTGCCACAGGCCACCACTACTCCGCCGGCTGAAATTGCTAAAGAAGTAACAACGGTGGGGGCTGGTGAACTCCTCACTCTCATTAACATTTTCCCATAAGCAGGCTCCATAATTTTCCTGTGTCCTACAGCTAGGATTAGAATGCATGGACCCTGCATCTTAATCACAAGCTCCATGTGCAAGGGGCCATTTCAATACTGACTTCTGCATCTCTGATTTGAAGTGATCATGAATATTGTATAGCTTGCCTCACTCTGTTTGTTTCTTTGTTTTTTTTTCTTTTAATAAGATGCCCTAGGGTGAACCATTTCAGTTAACTTAAGAAAGTGAAGCAGCCCCCCAGATAGCGTGCACGCACAGAAGTGTTGGGCTGTATTCCTGAGTGTGGTCGTGTATGGCACGTGGCCCTTCAGGATCAGGGCGACCACCTCACCCCCCGGAAATTCTGGCTCAGCCGGGGGGCGAGGTGGGGCCCAGGCACCCACAGGCACCTCCGGAGAGCGCCCCCGGCACCCACCCCCACTGCCCTAGCCCGACCCCCGAGGCAGAGCCCGGGAGAAAGGTGTGGAGGGCCTCCCGAAGCCCCCCCTGGGCACAACCCTTCTGGGCTCGGAGGCTCCGGGGCTCCCGGACGGACGGACGGACGGACGCACTCCTGATGCGCGGTGCCCAGGCTGTGAAGTCAAGTCACTGTGAGACCGGCACGTGCAGCCAGCTTGATCATTACCCAGCTCACACGCCCGACTCCCCGCTCCATCCTCAGAAAGGAAAGTGCTCTCCCCGTGGTACTTCGGTTTCCCAAAGAGAGGCTCCCAAGCGACCCAAGGATAGAGTTAGGAATCACTGGAAATGGCAACCCGCTGATAAAGTTCTAAAAGACTCAAAGGTTATTTTCACTTATTCATTTGACGCATTCGTGCACTCATTTGCTGTTTCAGCGAATGTATTCTTGAGTACCTACTGAATGTCTGGCTGGCATCGTGGTCTTTATCCTCAAGGAAGCCATAGTCTTCTGAAAGAGGCAGAAACCCCAAACAAATAATTAGACCCTACCGTGGCAAACGCTGTCAGGAGATCTGCAGAAGTGAAATATTTTCTGACAGAGAAGCCAGTGGAGGGGGGCAGAGCGAAATCAGGGAAAACTTGAGAGAGATGGCACTAGAGTTGGGCTTTCAGGAGAGCAGGAGGGGTCCAAAAACCTCAGTCATCAAGATAAATGGAATTTTAAGGCACTATTTTTTTTAATTAAAACGAATGCAGTATTTTTTTTCCTTTTGCCCCGGGCTCCAACATCGCTCAGAACAGCACCGTTACTGATCCTGTCTGTATTTAACAATTAGATCTTCCATTCATCACAGATTTTTAGCTTAATTTTGACTTTTTTTTTTTTTTTTTTTTTACAAATACCACATTCAGTATCATTTGCCTCAATTACCGAGTCTGTGGTTTCACCTGGAATGCCGTGCTTGGGCAAGTGCCTCAGCCGCCTCACCCTCAGCTTGGCCCTTCCCCGAGCCAAGCGATCTGTGTGATGAGGGACTAGAAAATCAGCCCGGTTTTCCGCCCCCTCCACTAGAAAAGACCAACTCAAACTGCCAAACTAGCTTTCCCCATGCACGTTATGTCAAAGATGACAGGGCTGAGCCTGTCTTCTTGGAGTGCAAACCTTGGGGGTCCCTCATACTTTCGGTACTTCAGAAAACGGCCATACCCAGTCATCAGAGAGCCGAGTGGTCTCCATTGCTGTCTTCCTCCCTTTGACTAAATCCATGCATTTGGCACTGGTAAATAAGTTCCCCTCAGCCGTGGGAAGCTAAAGAGCCAGTGCTGGGGGGAGGGAGGGGGTTGGGGGCAGGGATGGAGCCACTTCTAAGAATTTCAGGCTATAACGTCTACTAGACAGTGTTATTACCAAGAGCGGTGGTTTTGTTTGGCGCATCGTTTTCTATTTCTTTTCTTATATGTTTGGAGACAGACATGAGAACATACGTGCTCTCTATTATTTCTTCTAAATATTCCTCCTGTTTAAAAGGGGAAGACGGGTATTGGGAACCCAGCTTGGTGACAGAGCAGCTATATAGAGATCCGTAAATGAGAGAGCTGTGTGTGGAACAACACCCAAGCCTCTGGCTTCTGGCACTTTGTTTCAGAAAAAAAAACTGATGCGCGGTGCCCAGGCTGTGAAGTCAAGTCACTGTGAGACCAGCACGTGCAGCAGGGAAAACTGCCTCTCACTCTCAGAGCCCAGAACCTCACTGATTTCAGTCCGGATTTATGGCATCATTTGTTCCTGATCAGAGCTACTCGCCTGCACGCCTCCACCAGGAAAAGGTAAAATATAACCCAGCAGGGCAAACTAGAAAGGGAAAAGAACAATCAAACCAGGTCAGGAGTTAAAAAATTCACTGCTTTTGCCCTGATTCTTTTGTTCATCTAATATAACTTGCTTGGTAAAACTTGCCTACACTGTCCCTGTTTTCGCCCTCGTCCTCCAAGAGCCTCTACCTATCATGCACACGCTCATCGCACGTAATCACATGGGGCGAAATAATCAGATCAGCCCTGCGCAAGCCAATGTAATTGGCACCCTTTGAAAAGACAGGTGCCTAAAGTTCTTTAAAAAAATTCACGGGTCGGGTGCCCGGCTGGCTCGGTCGGTGGTGCGTGCGGCTCTTGATTCTCGGGGTTGTAGGTTCAAGCCCCACGTTGCATATAGAGATTACTTTAAAAAAAATCAAATCTTGAAAAAAAAAATCACAGATGAATGAGCTAAAAACACAGAAAACACACTGCCTGACTTATGGTAAGTACTCAGCAAGATGCTACCTATCGTTACAAATATTTTGGAGAGTATTTATAGTCATTTATAGAAAGATATATTTTAGGAAATTTTTTTAACACATATAACAGGTCAGAACAATTTTTAGTGCCATTTAGGTCAATTACTGAGAATTTCTAAGAAACCTCCTTTTATTGATATGGTGTAGGACCGTAAAATAATGAGACTCTTCATAGAACAAACGAGCAGACATTTGACATTCAGATGAATACCAGCACCTTCGAAGCCACGCCAAGAGGAAACTATACACTGTGTTCAAGGAGACAGGCATTGCTCAACAGTCTGGAATTCCTCTAAGGGAATTACCTTCAGCTGTAGTTATGAACCATGCATGAAAATGAAGCTCATTATTTTAGGAGCCTCAGCTCATTTTTAGTAAAATGTGTATTCGACCCTATCAGCAGCACCGTTGGAATAAGGCGGTGCCTCCCGAGGAGGTCACTTTGAATGGAGCCAAAGCCAGCTTGGATAGGTACATTCTGGACATGGTGGTTAAGTATCAGCCACTCTGTACTTTCTGGGCAATGTTATAAAGCCTACGAAAGGGAGGCACTGAGCCATTTATTAGCAAGTCAATTTCCCGACTAAACACTTTGACCATTTTCACTTTTGGAAAATTAATCTCTGCCTATTTTGAGATTCTACACAGAAACAGCAATCTTAACAAGAATAATTCCTCTGAAATACTATCTTCTTAAAGTGACCTTAAAAGTAGAAAGGCCATTCAATTGTGACCTAGCCCTATATCGGATGCAAGTATTTTCCTGAGGAAAAAATAGACGGCCAGAAGATAAACTTCTTCCACACAGGGTTAATAACGAAAATGCTGATACGACCTTGAGTGTGGTGGCGCCCAGAACCAGCACTATAATTAATCTAAATGTACTGTAATTACACTAAATGTTACTTCTGTAGAATAGTTCCAAATCATGTGGCTTTTTTATGCTTAGATAACATGCAGTTTATTTCCAATCATGGATGTAGGCATGATTTGCTAAAGGAACATTAGGTCTGGAAGCAATATCTTAATCAAATCAGAACTTCTTCTGTAAAACAAATCTTTGGCTTTTGAAGAATTAGCAGCAACTAATGCCTTAGGGTAGAGATGTGAAACTGAGCTGAAATCTGCACCGCTAGATCTCTCCCTCTCCCCTCTGGCACCCAGTCATTCACCAGCACATCCATGTAGCCTCCTACCTACATACCTACATACACTTTCTCTGGTCGTAAACCACCACAGCTACTTCTAAATTACAGCCTGAAAACACCACGCTGAAAGTCAGTTGTAGGAAAGTTCCCCTCATGCACTTTATTTATTTCTTCAGAACAGAAGCTGGTTCCTTTTGGGAAAGAACTCATTTAAACAAAACCTAATAGCAAGCATCCATAAATTAGAGGGTTATTGGTATGTGCATGATTTGATGCATAAAAACCGAACAGATATTCCAGAGGTAAAAATGCCGACTCTTACCCCTGCAGAAAGATCTCTTATGGTGATTTTAGTCTTGTACGGGAGGACCGGATGGGCTGGGACACCTCCAGTCATTGGCTGCTGTCGTCTTTCTAACTGTTCGGTGGCTCTTCGTCCACACTCCTTCTCCCCAGTGCCGTAAGCTCACAGAGTAACCAGCCACAAGAAGCAATGCCGATCTTGCTGCCGGACACGTCATCACAAATCCAGCTCTGGTGCCCAAATCAGGAAGCAGAACATATTAAAAATCGAAAAGGGCAAGATAGAATCAGCCTTATGAGGGCAGAATTCAGACTCACTCTAGCACACACAGCGATGATCAAGCACTCAGGGCCTGGATGATGACCAAAACTCTTGTCCATGTGCTCCATCTTCAACGGGTGTGAGTTCAGTTGCCCAAAGTACAGTGTGTGTGTGCCAGGGGTTGGGAGCACAGAAGACACGAACCCTGAGAGCCAGATGATCACAGGATATGAAACAAGATCCCAGAGGTCATGGAGCTGAAACTCATTCTTTTGCAGGTTGGGCAACAGGCCCAGAGGAGTTAAGTGACTTGCCCAAGGTCACAAAGCAAATGAATGACAGAGACAGGATATCCTAGTTTCTAGGCCCAGGCTCCTTTTGATCACAGCCTGGATGCGCATGGGTATCAGACCACCCATTTGCCCCTTTGGCTTCTCAACCCGCATCTATGGAGCAAACATCAGATGCCAGGTCTGGTGCAGGGGACTATGCCTTCAGTGAAGTCAATAAAAACCTAATCTGGGTAACACTATGAAAGGACTTAGCAGATGAATGGGGTAAACGATTCCGATGAAGCATGGTCCCCTGTCCCAGTGTGAAATCTGGATGGTTAAGACATGGCAAATGCAAATTAAACCAAAGTGGCTCCTGTTATCCCCACAACAGCATAGTCTCTTCTGGTTTTCTTGAAGTAGATGAATAATCCCGAACATTGGTAAACACTGAAGATTCTCAAAATATATTCAGCAGGAGTGAGACTGTGAGGTGGGCCCACTCTATCCTCCCAATCTTATCTCCCTCCACTAAGCCCTCCCTTCCTCAAGTCTGCCTCTCCTCTTGATAAAACAGCTACTGTAAATTAAACCCCTCGGACAGACATCAAGCTTTGGAATGATACACAGCAAGCTACAGTATTCCCAGCAACTAGCCCAGCACCCGGCATGTGGTAGGGGTCTTAAAGCACTTGCTGAATGAAAGAATGAGTGAATGACCCAATCACTGCAACAGGTTCTTAATAATCTTTTTCTGTTTGATTTTTTGACAGCTCTGGTATGGAGGTCTCATTATCACTACTTTATAGATGATGGAAAAGAGGCCCAGAGATGTAAAGCAATTGGCCCAAGGTGACACAGCCTGTAAATGGTGGAGCTGACCATCTGTCTACTAATTCATGCTCTATTCATTCTCCGTGCCTGTTCTTTCTGCTTTGCCTCATCAACTTCTAACCATGCTTGAAAGGTTAGGCCTCATCTTCCAGAAGTCTCATCTAATCCAAGGGCCGTGTCTTATTTGTCTACAGTGGTGTGTGGGAGTATCTCCTGCCCCGGGGTTGTAAGCTGCCCCGAGCCAGGACGATGTCACTGTCTTTGCCTCGCCAGCAACTCTGTAGATGTGCTACGCTCGGTAAGCGCTCCGTAATGTAATCTAAGTGGAAGGAAGCTGGTGGGGGGTGGGGGGGAGGCAGAGAGGGGAAGTAAAAAGGATAGATTGAGGGCACAGCCTGAGGCTCAAATATAGGTTCAGGTCTTCAGATTATGTCACAGAAAGACATGTCTGCCTTCTGTCCACAGGGATCCGGAATTCAAGTCCCTGGGAAGTGGAAACTGAGGGAGAGCATCCCACTCGGGCAGCTCCCATAGTAAATCTTATGTTATGTGTGATTCACTATGATGTTCTTCAAAAAGTGAGTATCTAAATTGAGTTTGTGTCATGTATACCAAGTTTCAAGACTTGTTTCCAACCAAGTGTTAACATTTCTTGGTATCATTTCTGGTATTAATTTTGTGTTAAAATTGTAATGGCTTAAATACACTAGGTTAAACTATAGTATTGAAATTAGTACCACCTGTTTCTTTTTACTTTTTCTAATGTGGCTCTAGAAAATTGTAAATTACATATGCAGCTTGCATCAGTTGCTAATGAACAGAACTCCTCTGTATCTGGTTTCGTGTGCTGGTTGGTTACCTGGGTGCACGCAACTGTCAAAACTCGTTGAACTGAACACCTAAGATCTGTGCATTTTATTGTCTGTCCGTTATAGTTCCATTAGAAAAATGACACACACACAAGACAGAAGGCCACAAAAGAGTCTCTTCTTCTTTCACCCTCAAAGAACACGTTCTGACATAAAAGGGAGAACCACCCTGAGCATTTTTTGAATCCCACTAGATGTCGGATCTTTGGTGTAACTCCCTGTCTCACCATCCAGACCAAGCTATCGGGGAGAAACCTCTCATTTCCTGTTTGCTTTTTCTCCCACAGAGCATCAAATACTCAGAAGAGAGCTGGGCCCTGACTGGCTTAGGACTTGTCACCACCGAGGCAGTAAGTGAGGGATGTCCCTGATTTCCATAACTAGAGGTAAACAGACTTTGAACCAAACATGTTAGAGAAAAATCAAAGACCATTAAAGCCTTCCATTCTCCCAGAGTTGACTTTTTCATTCACGCAGACCATTAAACTTGGTTCTTCCACTCAAAAACAAAACAGCCAAGTGAGCAGACCAAGGAGCGTGGCAGGCCGTTCAGGAACACCGCTCAGAACACATTGAGAACCAAATGCAATTAGAGGCCCCGCCTCTGCTCTGCTCACTGGCAAATGTACCCACATGTCTGACCCCACGTGTCTGACTCTGTGGGGACGGGGGTGGGGGGACGGACCAGGAGCCTCCCCAGGCGGAGACAGCCCTGAGGCTACAGTGTAGCCTGCCCCAAGCAGGGGTCTGGCCTCCCCCTCTCATCTGCCTATAAGAGGGCCAAACAGCCACGCCCGGCCTTGCAGCCAGTCGGGGCCGGCACACATCAGCAAGGGTATAAATGGGGGCTCTTCACACCCCAATTCACCCCTAACCTTCCCCCTCAGTCGCTGTGAGTTAGAGGATCCGTGTCTGCGTCGGGGTCTCCAAGACCAAGCTCAGGTACAATGAATGACCAGAATGACTCACAGAACTCACTGACTTTAGGAGTATGTATAAAAAGTAACACAGGGTCATTGTAAAACAAAACTGGAAACTTTTAAAAAGTACAGAGAAGAAAAATTAATTATCATCTAGGATACGGATATACTGAACTTAGGCAATTCTTCTCTTACTATTGAAAATTTGGACAGTTTCCCTTTTTAGCCTTGCTTTATGATTTAACCTGTATAAACAAACCCATGGAAATCAGTCCCCTCCGTCTGTAAGGAGACTGGGACATTTAAATAATTATCTTCAACAAATGTCCTGATTCCTGATTTAACTTCATTTCACAAAATTCACACACAATGTCCCGATTAACACCCCATTTGTTCTCAGTGTTTACTTTTTCGCCGACCCTGACACACTTCTCTTGACTAAATCTGAATTCTGTCAGCTCTCATTCTGACAAAAATCCAGTCTTGGAGATAAGAAGCAATCCACTGGGGGCTACACAATAGCAAAATCAATATTTTCCAGCTAAAGGACAATTGTGGAGCCAGAGACTTATATGAGAGAGGAGAAATCTTTCTCCAGCTCTTGGAGGAAGCTATTTGAAAATGCTTAATAAACTATTAAGCATATCGTTTTCAACAACCAAGAGGGAAACACAGCAGCCTCCTCTCCTGATGCTGTCTAATCACGACTGTGAGTTCCAGAAATAGCAGCTGGGGGAAGGAAGAGCAAAGAGTGGTCAAACCAGATTTTGAAAAACTCATCACAAATCCAACAAAACCTCCATTGTCTTATGGTTTTCTTTATCCACTAATGAAGTCTGTGATTGCCATCATCCAGGTTTAGATACAAAATGCTCACTAATCCTCTGTAAACCTCACTTTGTCATATCCTGGCCTGGGATCCACAACAGAGAGAGCCACAGAGACTCTTCCAGGCCGGGGAAGATGAAACTCTGAGGAGAGGTAAATGAGGCTGCGATTATCCAGCTGGAGGAAGACTGGACTGAGGGAAGAATTCATAACTTCCTTCAAATATAGAGGGGATGGTGAATAGCCAGGGGAACTCACTCACACTCTACAAACTGAATAAGAAGAAATGGATTTTATCTGCAACAGGAGAAAATCACCTTAGCTTGGCTGGAAAATTTCCTAGTGGCTTGTCTGTCCATTCTTCACCGAGGTGTCCACTCCACAAATAGGTGTTCAGAACTTCCTTGCTGGCCAATGAAGTGTGTTTCCAATAAAGGCTCATTCGTTAATTTGATGAGTATTTGTTGAGCTTCTGCGATTTACAGGTAAGGAAACACAGAAATAACGGACACAACCCCACCCTCGAGGCCGTGGAAACTATTCCGCAGGACACCTTCGGAAGCAAACTACATTTCCATTTGCCTAGAATGACTAATCCCTATATGGGGAGGACAAATCCAATGATTTGTAAAAGTTCCCTTCAGCTGTTGGGTCCTTACTTTTTAATTAAGACAAACAAAAAAAATCATAAAAACCAAAACCTTTATACCAGTGCAGAGTTATTTTCATGGCAGATTATATTCGAAGTCTTTTTAAAATGACAAAAGATCTATCTAGGGGTGCCTGGGGGGGCTCAGTCCGTTAAGCATCTGACTCTTGGTTTCGGCTCAGGTCAGGATTTTGGGGTCGGGAGATGGAGCCCCGTGTCAGGCTCCATGCTGGGCATGGAGCCTGCTTAACATTCTCTCTCTCCCTCTCCCTCTGCCCCTGCCCCCTGTCCCTCCCTAAAAATAAAAAAAATAATTAAAAAAAAAATCTACCTAGGGGCGCCTGGGTGGCTCAGTTGTTAAGCATCTGCCTTCGGCTCAGGTCATGATCCCAGGGTCCTGGGATCGAGCCCCGCGTCGGGCTCCCTGCTCAGGGGGAAGCCTGCTTCTCCCTCTCCCACTCCCCCTGCTTGTGTTCCCTCTCTCGCTGTGTCTCTCTCTGTCAAATAAATAAATAAAATCTTTAAAAAAAAAAAAAATCTACCTAGCCAATATAAAGGCACGTACAGATGAAAAGATTACATTTTAATCCTCTTGAT